GGAGGGTGGTAAAGGGCTGGAGCAGATTGCTGGGGAGGGACTGCTATCAGGAGAGGTGTTGAGAACACCACAGAAAGCAGGATGCCCTGCTGGCTGGAGCAGACTAGGTGGAACAGGCTCTTCCTTGGGGTGGGCAGAAGTGAATGGGAATATTAAGGTCCCTCCCAGTCCTGTTTTCTGTGATTCTACACGCTCGTGCTCATTCCCTGCCTTATTTCTTAGCCCGACGATGGATTTCTCCTCCCTCAGGTCATCCCTGGTGAAGCTGTACAAAGGTCTCACCTCCCAGTGTACAAGCCAGGAGGTTTCTCCAACACCCAGTGCAGCATCAATGCGGGACAGTGGGATCCATACTGAAGAGGCCATACAGTCATTCCCAGCAGCACCTTCCTCTGGCACAACCACCCCGTAAGCCTGTTGTCCTCATGGGCAGCTTTAGAGTAGGCTGAAAACTCTCCTCACCCACACCATGCCAGGGACACCAGGCAGCTACAGGCTGTCATTGCCAAAAGCACTCCCTCTATTTGGATAGAGAGATGAAGGGCTGGCTCCATCCTGCTATCCCCCACCGTGTGGTTTACAAGCAGGGAATGTTCCAGAGCTCTACCCAGGGCTGCCTGCTAAGGCAGTACATCAGGGAGGACATGAATTTGTTTAGGCCTGACAGTGGTGTGCACAGCAACACCCTGCATTAATCACTGTCAACATTACTAGAGCTGGGAAACAGGACCAAGGTCTCAGAGCAGGGAAAGAAATACTTTTCCATACAGCACATAATGGAATTATGTGATTCACTATCACAAGATACAAGTAAAAAGCGGGTTCAAAAAGACACAAGACTAAGTCAAGACAGGGCTACTGGTAGCACCTGGAAATCTTCACAGAATCACAAAATATTCTGAGTTGGAAATTACAAGAATCATGGAGTCCAACTCCTGGCCCCACACAGAACCATCCTCAAGAGTCACACCAAGTGTCTGAGAGCGTTGTCCAAACACTTCTTCAACTCTGTCAGGCTTGGTTCTGTGACCACTGCCCTGGGGAGCCTGTTCCAACCACTGCACAACCACCCCCTGGGTGAAAAACCTTTTCCTGATATCCAACCTAAACCTCCCCTGACACAATTTCAGGCCATTCCCTCTGGTCCTGTCACTGGTCACCAGGGAGAAGACATCAGTGCCTGCCCCTCTGCTGTCCCTCATGAGGAAGCTGCAAACTGCAGTGAGATCTCCCCTCAGTCTCCTCCAGGCTGAACAGACCAAGTGCCCTCAGCCACTCCTCACATGGTTCCCCTTTGGCCATTTCCAGCCTGACAGGTGCCAAATGAGATGATGATCAGAGAAGCATGCTAGACTTACCTTTATTCTTATGCCAGTGATTTGTGGCTATCGTGCTTTCTTAACTCATTTGATACTAACAAGAGTTTGGCTGCATCATTCCCAGTCCCCCTCTGTTAGCAATGTTGTAGATCAGTCCTTAGCCTCCTCCTCCCCAGACTGCCCAAGCCAATCTCCCTCCCACAGACAGCTTGCTCCAGCCCTCCACCTTGGTAGCCTCAGCTGGCACCACCTCCACATGCATCCTGAACTAAAGACTCAGCTGGAACACAAGGAGGGCAGGAGCCCTCCAAGTACTCCTGACACATTTTGGGGACAGAGTCACCTTACCCAAGAGAGAAACCCAGTCCACCTGAAAAGACAACCAGACCACAGGAAAGTGAGGCACAGCTACATTACAGTGAGAGAAGGAAAGTTAAAATCCAAAATGCAGATGAACAGGAGAGAGAGATGGAGCAGTTGGCTTCTCATCTCAGTTTCTATTCACTTCATGCTGCAGAGTACAAAGGTCAGCCAAAGTTACTGGAGAAGCAGCTCTGTCTCTCCAAGTTTGGTCCTCCTAACCAGCCAGACAGTTTCTGTAAGAGACACCTCTGTTATTGTTCTCCAAGACAGGAGAGAATCTTTTGGCCATAAAATCAACACAATAGGGCTGGGGAAGTGAAGGGGTGGAGGGGATTTGTCATGTGTCTCTGTCATCCTTTAGTATTCCACTTCCGTCTGTTTTTTTGTTTTGTTTTGTTTTTTATTTTTAAGGCATTTGATGCCGCAGATGAAGAAACCCCAGCCAGCCGTGATGGAGAACATCCAGGCTGTAAAGCCCCCTGACTGGGAGATGGAAAGCAGAAAACACGAGAGGCCAGAGAACATCCTTGCCTCCTCTCAGCTGACAGAGCAGGAACTTAAGGCCTTGACAGCCCCCTTACAATCCATCCCTGAAATGGAGTACGAAGCGCCACCGGCTGATGCGGTGGGGAACACCGAGAGAGCCATCAGAACCTCTGTGGAACTGCTGCAGGATGCCAGGAACTTTGCACCAAGCTATGAAGAGTTTGACTACCCTGGGGAGGTTTTCACCATGCCAGGCCCCTATGAAGACGACACCTTCCAAAACCTCGCTCTCTTTGAGAACTGCTCCCCGGCCTCTTCCGAGTCCAGCTTGGATATTTGCTTCCTTAGGCCTGTGAACTTCACCTCAGAACCGGAGAGGACAGACCATGCCTTGCAGCCACTGCCTAAGAGCTGCACTCCCGTGAGCAGCAGCACCTACAAGCGTGAGATGTTCCACAGCAAAGGGAAGCAGCTGAGCAGGTCCCTGAAGGAGCTGCCGCGGAGCGCGGAGGGCGTGAGCACCAGACTCTACAGCACGCGGAGCAGCAGCGGGAGCCGTCTGCAGCAGAAGCAGGACAGGAATGTTCAACCTCACATGATCTCAGCCTCATCTCGAAGCTCCCAAAGGAGCTACTTCCCCCCACAGAGAGGAGCGGGTGAAAAACCGAGCTTTTTGGAAGTAAGGAGGCTTAAATAGGAGGAGGAAAAAAAAAAAAGCACAAGGTGGTGCAGCAGCAGCAGGAGAAAGATCTGAGATACAGTTAGAGTAGAACACATCAAAACAGCTTTCAACACATTCCAAGTCCTCAACTGCATGTACATGCCCAAGGGAGGGACAAGACAGCTCGTTTTCACACACATCTTCCCCAGGGACAAGCACGGGGTTGAGGTGCACAGCTGGCTGAGCTAGAACACCCTTGAGACAAGGTAGCCTCTTGTGTGTCTCCACCTGTCACTGAGCTTCCTCCCCAGGTGAATGTTCTGAGCAGGTCACAAAGTTTACACAAAGCTGTTCAAAATTAGTGCTGTGGTTGGCACCCAGTTTAAACAGGTGCCTTTCCACCTGCTGTGAGGAGTGCTGGGTAAGTCATGCCGGTGTAAACCAGCATGACTTGGCCAAGCTCGGCCCATTTACACCAGCAGGGATCTGGTCCATAGGTTTTGTTTCACCTGTATTTGTTGCCTGGATTGTGCAGACCCATGCCAAAGTCTGTGTGAGAGCAGTCAGAGTCCAGCAACTGTGTCCCTCAGGTGGGACATGGCAAACAGCATGGTAACCCTTCAGGGACACCAGGTCCTGCAGGAGCAATGTTTCTGTAGTTTGCAGTGGCTGTTCAGAGTCAGCTTTGGGCTGTCACAGCCAAGGGTGCTCTGAGGTGCTTAGATAGGAGGCTGTAGATGCAGATGATGATGGGAGGTAGGTTCCAACAGCCTGACTGAAAAGGCAGCAAGAAAACTTCAAAAGAAAAGGAAAAAAAAAGCCTAATGAGTGAAGGAGGTGGTAGAGGGTTGAACAGGGGAGATGAAGTAGAGGGAGAAGAGCCGTGAGGACACAGCCACCCCAGAGAAAGAGGCCTATGAGTTCTTTGGCACTTACCTGCACAGAACTATGGCCCACAGCAGGGTGCAGATGTGGAGCTTGTCTAGAACTGCAGGACATGTTCTCCCCCACAGTGCAAAGGAAATCACCATGGCAGTGGTGGGCAGAATTGGAGAAAAGGGTCTTGTCCAGAGTCTTGTTGAGAGGAGCTTGGCACTCTCCTGAAAGAGGGACAGATCTTTTAGTAGCACATTTACCACAAGGTGTGTGTGCTAATGAACCTTTTGCCCCACAGATATAAAACCATGCAGCAGCAGAGCCAGCAGAAGAGACTTTACCACAGCTCCAAAGCCTGATGCCTCCCTGCCCTAAGGGAGAAAGGAGAGGGTGGGAAGTTCTTCCAACTGCCCAAGCTGGCTTGCTCCCTCACTGGCAAAAGAAGCTAGTGAGCTTCCCCTAAACAAAAAGCTTAGCAAGAAAGGCTCCAGTTCCCTCTAACAGTGCTTATCCTTCTACTCCTCTGTCACTGCCTCAGTCTTAGAGCCAGCAACAAGCTCTCTGCAGAGGTACCAGTGTTGTTTCCCAGCCTTGTCAGCACCTCCTGACCCATCAGGTCCCTCCTAGCACAGAAGTAGAGAAGGGAACAAGAATGTGAGGTTGCAAATGCTGGTTAAATTGTCTTTTCCCTTTTAGGAGCTCCATGCAGAAGACAACACCAGGTTCTGCCAGAAGGATGACAATGAGCAAACATCCTTCAGCGACCACAACCCGCGGCACGAGCCCAAGGGGGGGTTCCGGAGCTCCTTCCGCAAGCTCTTCAAAAAGAAATAAGCAGCCCCAAGAAAGGCAGGCCACAGCCAAAGCACAGCAGTGCTTCCCCAGGTCCCCGAGGGTGGAGACAGACAGCAAGGCCCCAGGATTCCCTGACTAACACAGAGGGTGGAGGGTGGGGGAGAGGAGACTCTCACAACTGCCTTATAAATGCATCCTGCTCTTCCTAGCACAGGGCAGGGCCAGGCTTTGGGATGCGGTGGAGCTCAACCAGCAGGTCCAATAAGCACAGGAACTTGCTAGCTTTCATCCCTACCTGACTGAACTTCCCTCAGATTTGGAAAGCTTTGGCCAACCCCTAGTATCTTCTCCTCCCCCTCATCCCCCAAAACTGCTTGATTTGCCATGCATCTTTGCTTCTTCTTCAAGGCAGGTCTTATTTGGGCTCACCCACAACAGAAAGGTTACCTTTGCAGCCCTGGCATCCTGGCCAGAAGTCTAAAATTCCCTTCTTTCTTCTACTTTCCAAAAAAAAAAGCACCATCAAAGATGTATTCCAGGAGGCCAGCTCGCATTACCCAGGTGGTTTGAGAGGGTCTAAGAAGCATCAGCTGAAGCACCTGAGCATTGCACTGCCTAATCAGCAACATCCTTTCTTTTGGACTTCCATCACTCGCCAAAATCCCATTTCACCTTTTATGTGAATGCAGTTTTCCTGAATTGTTTTCTGCTGTAGGAATCACTGCTTCTGCTCTCAGAATCGCCCGTGTCTCCAGGCAGGTGATGAAGGCTGGGCCCAGGGCCTGCCACGAGACAGACTCTTCTCCACCTTATCCCCAGTGTGGATCAATGCTGGTAGTGCCAAAGTGTCCTGGCTCCCGGTCTGTAACACACCTGGAACACACTTTGCTATCTCTCTGGCCTGACACCTTCATGAGCCCCATCACATGCAGCTTTGGAAAGGTTCCTCCAGCTAAAAACTGAGGCACTAGGGCAGGAAGGTTGATGGTGCACCATGTTCAGAGTCATAGCTCTCCTTCTTGTGCAAGATCAGCGAGGCTGCACACAGGCCACCCTCCTCACACCTGGACATGACAAACGCTCAGGAACTGACCTCTGCAGAAGACTGAGAGAAGCTCTGCTGCGGTACCCATGTCACGCACCAGCAGCGAGAGCATCACTGGCACAGTGCTGTTACCAGTGCAGTACTGCTGAGCTCCGATGTCACCTGAAGCTGGCACGTTCTGAGGGCAGTTTCAAGAGCAACTGTGGTTTTATCACCTTGTTTTGACAAGCCTGAGACAATGGTCTGTCTAAAGGACAGCTTCACCTTAAAAAGTTGTGAACTGTCTCCATGGGGCCAACAGCAATGCCTTGGGGGAAATACTGTGGGATGGGGGGCTTGGGACTCCCCGCATCAGCACAAGGGTGGCTGATTTTGGGGCCAAGAGAAGAGCACCCACCAAGCTGCACGGCTCTCCTGGCCATGGCAGCAGGGCAGGGGAGCCCAGAGCTGGTGCCTGTGGATGCAGTGGCCAACACCTGCTGCAGATGCAGGGCCCAGAGCTCCCCAGTGTTGACTGACCTGCATCTACCACCTGCTTTTCCTCCTCTGCTGGAGGCAGTGGGGTATGTGTGAAAAGGGCTATCCAGACAGACAAAACCCATCCTTTACTGCAATCAAGGTTTTCCCAACATTTCAAGAACGTGACCAAGCAAAACCCCAAAGATTAAAATGTTCTAGCTGGTTCCTCTCCCAGAGATTTTAATGAAACAAATATCCACTTCTCCTTATAGAAAGAAGTACCACACTTTCCTCCCCTAGCTTTTGGAAACTGCTCTGGGAAGATTTTTTTTTAATGTAAGGCTTTTAATGGAAAAAAAAAACCTCTTCCATCTCCTTCCCTTTCCCTCACATCCTCATAAAATTACAAATTCCCTGTCCCATCCCTTTCCAGTCAGGACTGCTCCATGCTGACCAGCCACTGAATCAGACAGTTCCTAGGACTTGGCAGCTTTAGTCAGACTCTGCAGGGCCAGGATAGAAATTACATAGGAAGAGCCAGATACTTGTAACTGAAGCATCAGCAAAGCCTGTTTGTTCTGCACAGGAATCAGCCTCAGACAGAACTGTTTGTCCATGGAATCAGAGCTGTATCATTATGGACAAGTGTCCATTGTAAGGCACTGATGCTGTCAAGGGCTCTGATTCTTGTGGTTCTGGTCTCATATATGTAATGACACTTTTATCCATCACAAAACAAACCTGCTTTTCATATTTGCCAGGCAGATACCAGGACAGAAACAGGACAAAGAAAAAAAACCTACCTGCTAACATCTCCTGGGTGAGGAAATTCTTCCAAAGTGGCAGACCCTTGCTTGTAAAATGCATGTGGATTTCAGCTTCTATTTTAGTGATTTAAGGCACAGCCAGAACTGATGGTTATTTCTTTCTGATTCTCTGTGAGTTCTTACTTCCAAGCCTATACTTACCACTTCAGATGTCCTTGTACCTGCTCAGAATCTGCAAATGTAAATAATATGAATGAATGATGCTCAGCACCACACATACACAACCTGTTGCAGGATCCACTTCAAATCCATCTTTAGTGTATGTGTGTGCTCTGGATTATTTTTCTTCCTATGCCAAATAAACGTTGCCTTTAAATAACGCTGTTGCCCCTTGCACTGAATCAGCCAGAAGGCTGCATCCATTGGAAGAAGAAACAGGTGCTTCTCTGGTCCCTGAGGCAGCATTATTTACACAGTCCTGCATCCCTACAAGTCCAGCCATGCAAGCAGACTGTTCCCTACACAAGTCTAAGACTCTTAGTCAGAACTCAGCTGAGTCACTCTCCAGGCTTCTGGTCAAGATCCTGTTGTTGGTATAGCTCATTGTGACAGATCTTCATCTCCTTAGATTCTTCTAGACCACACCTCTCCATAGCTACACTCCCTGTTTAAGTCAGCCATCCTAGAGTCAAAACAAAAAAAGGCTTGCTCTGAAAGAGATGCAACAAACTTGTCCAAAGCAATTCCAGTAACATGTGCCCTTGATCACCTACCTTTACCTTATTTTAAAAAATATTACAGATGTTCTGCACATTTGGAAGATAAATTGTCATGCATCTGGCAAAAGGGTTTTTATTTTATTTTTCCCTTTCAACTTCTTAGCCACCCAGTATAAGATTTCACACTTGCTGTCCAGAAAATAAGAAAAAAAACCCTTACTCTTTGTTTCCTTCATAATGCACTATTTTCCACTGAACACTAAAGGTAAATTTGCTCTCAGTGGACAGAAACATGCATTTAAGGGTGATTTGTTGTTTTTTTAAATGGAAAATAAGGAATGGAATTTACAAAATTAAGAGCATTTTTGTTTTTACACCTGTATTAGGCCACAGGTTTCTCTCCCAAAGACTTCATCTATGCATTATCTGGGTTTAGGAATGACAATTCAACAATCTCTTCCATGAAGCACAATAATCTACTATGTTCAACAGCAGTACCCTCCAGTGATACCACTGGGAAAATCTAATTTAAAACACACACACAAAAGAAAAATAATATTCCACAACATCACTCTAAAACTTGAAGGATATAAATCCAGTGTATTAATTAGCACACCCTTCCTGTGACAGACCTCTCCCTCCCTGATTTGAGAGAGGCATATTAGAGCAGCAGGTTAGCCCACACTGGAAATGGCTTCTTGAGGATGGAGCTTCCATGGTGTCAGCCCTGAAGGGGGACAATATTCCCCATCAGCAGACAAGCTTGTTGCAGGGGCTGCTGAACACCGTGACAATATAACATGTCACCATGGGGAGCACAACAGCCACCTTCCACACAGCAGCTGAACAAATGCTCAGCACCTGCAAAATCACCATGGAACATGATCCCTGGGTTGGAAAGAAACCTTTGAAGGCCATCTGGTCCAACCCCATGCAATGAGCAGGGACATCTTCACCTAGAGCTGGCTGCTCAGAGCTCTTCCAGCCTGACCTTGAACACTGCCAGGGACGGGGCATCTTCCATCTCTGGGCTACCTGTTCCACTGGTTCTCCACACCTGTTGTAAAGAAACTTCTTCCTTATACTTTGTCTACATCTACCCTCCTTTAGTTTAAAGCCATTGCTCTCTGTCCTATTGCAAGAGGCCCTGCCAAAAAGTTTGTCCCCATCTTTCTTATAAACCTATGAAGTTCTGCTACATAACCCTGCCTACACAGTTTGCAATGGTTCTGGCTGACTTTTAGCCATATATCAGCTCTCTACAGTAATACAGCAACTCTCCAGGCCTCCACTCAAGCACATTTCATTGTCCAGGTCATATCATTACCCCAGGCCACACCAGACCAAGTCAGAGTCATTTTACCAAGGAGACAGAGAGCATCATTAAAATGATTTAATGTCTATGTGAAAAGTCTTGTCACTAATGCAAACATGATCCAAATAAGAAGCCGTTCCAGATCAGAAATTATTAACACAGACCTGCCATGACACAAACCAGTGGCTTAGCAGTTGTATTCAACCCCTAAATGCAACAGGTTTGATTCTGACCCTGTCCTTCCTGTTTGCAGCTGAGTCAACACCGTGATTTGTGCACTGTGACTGACCCCTGGGCTCCAAAGAATGCTTAAGTTCTCGTCAACATTCTCACCTGTTGTCTGAGTATCTCACCAGGAAAGCACTTTTATCCTCAACCACAAACAAGGAACATCATTCCCCATTTCACAAAGGAAAGCAGAAACCTACTGACATTTAAGAAATCTGCTGATTAGCAGGAGCCATGAGAGATCTCTCCTGACTGAGCAACCTGACCACTGGGGGCCTGCTCTGCCTTGGCTTCACAACCACACAGACAAAAGTGTGCTGAAGAAGAAATACAGATCAGAAAGTCTCAATTTATGGAGCGCCAAGGTTTTGAGATCTTCACTTTGTTTTTCTTTTGCCAGAAAAAATGTCTCAAAACAACATTGTTAAAGACATGTAAGAAGGAATACAACTGACAATTTCAAGATCTGACCGTGGTGAAAACAGCCATTCCTGTTGATGAAACGCTTTCCAAACGTAAGACCACACTAAAGGATCAGAGAGCCCTGATCAATGGCATTACTGAAAGCATTACAAAAGGTGATTTCTGCCATCATTCAACTGACACCACCTTTAAGAGACACAGCTTTCCAAGATCCTCAGATGTGTTCTTCTTCCAAAGTGGAAATGTGAGGGAATTAGACTTGCCCCATGAGCTTCATGAACTGAAGATGAGACACTTTATGCTTCACATACCTACTGCAGAGGACATTACAGAGCTCCTTTTCTTCAACAGCTGCCATCCATTACTGTCCCAGCCTGGTCTGGAGTCGAAGAGCAGCATGCAGGTTTATGGATAAACCATGTCAGAATACTTACAAACATATCTGTTTTGTCATGTGTATTTTGGACAGAGAAAGCCGCTGTAAAGATTAATATGAGTTTGATTTTTTTCTAACATGTACCATACAGGACATGGGAAACATTTCATAAGGTACAATAATTCACTTTGGGAGTAACCCAGCCTCTCAAATATTACTGAATTATTGTTTTGGAACATGCCAAAAACACCCCTTTCGTCTCTTATAACAAAAATACACTGGACTAGGAAAAATATGTACCACAAGATGGGCTTTTATACCCCTCACTGCTTAACTGAAAAACTAAGATGAACATTTGTCCTTGTAATAATTTAACATATGTCAGCCAAACATATCTTTATCTTTATTTCAATTAAATTAAAAACAATCTGCAAGTATATTTATGCAACATTCACTATATACACACGATTTATGCAACTGCAAGGCAATCCTATGTATGCTGATTAATCTATTGTTAGTAAAACATGACAATAGCTATGGAAGTTGACAAGTGACTGTTTTCATGGCATGACTGAAAAAGAATAGCTACTAGCCATGAAATGGATTATCAGTAAACCTTAAAAAGAACATGACATAACCTAGCAGAGATTAACAGTCTTCTAAATGTAGTATATTTGCTTCAGATGATAGTGCTGCTTTTAAAAAAAAAAAAATTCGCTGTCACCTTAATGATGTAAGACTTTCATCAGCTCTATCTAAAGAAAGCAATAATTAGACATTATGCTTCCTGGCAAAAATTTATTTTTGAACTGGCACCACAGTATTTCAGAAAATAATAATAAAGTACCTCTTTGGTGAAGCCTAGGTACCCCCTACTACTCATTGTAACAACTTGTAAACAGGACCGCAATACAGTGCTTTGCCTTAATTCTAGCTCAGTTAGGTACCACAGATCTTCCTCACAGTCCTTCTCATAATTTTAGGAAGGTATTTTAAAGCAGGGAGTAAGTAAAGCAAAGGAAAATTAAGAAGGATATAAAGTTCCCTGTTTGAGATTTAAAAAAAGTGCATAATGTTTTCATTCCAAAAACTGTGCCACTGTATGGATCTGATGGATACAAGACTGTTTTTCCTTCCTGTACTGGACATTATTGATCATTACACAAACACAGTCTCTGCTCATTGGCCAAAGAAGTCTCTCCAGACTGTTTTCTGGTACAATCAGCTGTCCAATTACTTTAGAACAATGTCCTGCATACTAAAACAAGAATAGCAAGTTAACCGGGTTTTCCACTAGAAAGTCTGTTTTTGCAATTCCATTTCTGTACACTAGGTTTCCAACGCATTGGAGAGTTCTTAGTGTTTGGCATCCACATCCCAACTCCTTGACACCACCAGGTTCAGTGCATCCATTGCCAGCAACAGACATAGCACCAGGAAAATGCGACTCCCAGCGCGAGGGACAGTTCAGGAGGAGGGGGCATTCTCCAGCAAGGGTGGCCCATCCCGATGCATCGATGGGTGTGTGTGCTCCCTTTTGTAAGTTTTTGGAGGAAGCTTTGGGATATGTTGAGAAGTGCTTTGTCGTGGAGGAACGGGTGGTCCAGCAACAGAAGGGAGGTCGGCATCCTGCGGTATCAAAGGCGGCGACGGCAGATGCCTCCGTGCTACATGTGGAGAAGGTGTCTGGGGGGGAGGGGGCGTGAACGGAGAGGGGCTGTTGGGGAAAAAGGTGTTACCAAGTTCGCTTTTTCTCCCCAGGGGTGGAGGCTGGAGGTGTAGTGGTGAGCTAGAGAAAACATCTGGAGTTCGCACAGGTTCCCGTGGCGGTAACTCGGGAGGGTTTGCAGTGGTAACACAGGAGTCAGAGATGCAGGTCCGATCAGGCACCGAGTACCTTGGAGAATACACTTTAGAGGTTGGTTGCCTAGGAGGGATTGCTGGTGGGTTGTCCAGGTGTGCAGAAGTAATCTGAGGTACACAAACATTTCAGTCAGGAAAATTCCAGAGAGGCAGCAAAGCACGGGACCCTGCTGTGAAGCAGCAGCCCCCTCCTGCACTGCAGATTGCCCTTAGCAGGGCTGCAGCAACACATGAGTGAACAGCCAAGGATGGAAGGAATGAAGATGCACAGAGAGGGACAAGGGCAAGGCAAGGAACGGTCAAAGCAACAATTTCCATGCTAGTTCCATGTCTGCTTGCTGGGGAGGTTTGGATATCTTCCACCACCTTCCCAGTAACAAGCACTTGGAGTGGGTTAACACACCAGATATTTCTTCAAGAAAACGAGAAAAAGGGAGAGGCCGATGATGCTGAACAGGGAAAAAAAATAAACTGTGCTCAGAAGATGGAGTTAGGTAGTCAGAATTATGGAAGTGAACAGTTCCCAAGCTGCAGACCACAGTGACAGGACAACTGGTCTCCAACACCCTATCACACACACAATGTTTTCATTTTGGTAGGATTTCAGATACGTTTTGGTGATGTGTTAAATTCTGCTGACTGACAGAACAGTTGCCTGTAGTTTGAAAATAACTGCTGAAGAGCCACTTATAAGTTCTCTTCAAACATTTATCTGCTCTGAAGTAATTTTGAGTGGGATTTTCAAATCTGAAGTCACAAACGAGCTTCCACTGAAATCAGGTGAAATTTGACACTGTCTGCAACAAAGGCTGGATCAGATCCCAGTTGCCAGACAAACACAAAAGGAAAATGTAGCAATGGCTTAAGCAGGCAGGCAGACAGGATGGGTAAGCAAGCACTTGAATACCACAGCACCAGGGTCAAATATTCTGGTGAAACCTTCCAGAGGTCTGAGCTGTGTACAGCACTTTCCATCATTACTGTTCATCAGTTCTTACTCTTATTCATATATCCTAAAATGATACTCTGGAACAATTAATCCCAGATGGAAATATCTGGCTGAAGCATCAAGTTCTCACAGGCAATGCAAGGGCCTGAGCATAGCACATCAGTAGGTGAGACATTTCTAATCCTAACTTTAGGTCCCATCTCTTTTTGCTTGTTTGAGATCAAGACAGAGTGAGGCAGAGCTGTGAAGGCTTGAAATACATGGCTGCTTACTCTTTCACATACAGTTCTTCAAAAAATAAATGTACTGTCTTTAAGAGTTAATTTTCTATCATATCCTGCCCATTTTCTCCCAGAAAAACAAACTACCTTTTTTCTGCTTACTTACTTTTGATGGGGAGGATTCAGCTGGGGCAGATTCTGGTCTTCTTCGTGGAGGAACAGGAGGAGGGACAGGAGCATCATCTGAAGTTTTGGTAAAGTTTATGGATGACACAGAGGCAGATCCTAAGGGACATAAAAATTATCCATTGATAATAATGAACTTTTGGCTCAATACTGCTGCCAATAAAGGTGCCATAAAGAACAAAGCAATTGCTCATAAAAAACATAATGAATCAAGGAAGTGGTAAATAAAGACAATGAAACAAGCCTCTAATTTGCAGCTGCTAGAGAAAATGCTTTTCTGAGCTGCAAATATCTCATAGCCATCAGTTCCTGAACTCTCTTAAGTAATCCTTGAGACCAAAACCACACCACAAACTTGTTCTTATGTCACAACAGCACTAAAACAATATCCTGAACCTGCAGTTTGTGGACCCAACAACAAAGAAATCCTTTCTTCTCCAGAGGCTTTCTAAAGACCTGGCTTGGACACTCAGCAATGGCATGGCTATGCTAAGGAACTTCTGCCTTTAGGAAGTCATTTCACCTCCTTGTGGCAACCAGCTGAACATAGGAGCAACCTCTAAAAACCCCCATATAAGAAAGGAGCCTATATCCATTATTAAATACTGAGGGCAGACCATAAAATATGAGTTTCCCCATATGTTGGGAAAGACAGAAGAAAAAGAGGTGTGGATAGGTCCTGATGGATTTAAAGAAAGCAAATACTGATTTTAAGTTCTCAAGGAAAACCGTCCGTGTACACTGCAATCAGATCTGAATTGCAGGCAGGAGAATAAGGCACCCACAAATGATTCATTTTTCATTCTCACTGTTCACCATCAGATACCACATACATATGGTGATACATTCACACATATACCTATGGCAGCAAATCCCACAATATGTTTGGGACATATTTGGCCCTAGAGATTACCTCTGCCTTCAGTTTTGACAGGTCCTCCAAAGACTTGTAACAGTCCCTAGGTAACACACCTAATTCTGTTCAGTTTCTCCTTTACAATAAAAACTTTTTAAAGAAAAAGGGAATAAGAAATACTGGAAGTTTTTGATGCTGCAAGGAGACAAAAGCAATGATTTTTACAGTCACTTTAGAAGGCTAAACCTGATTTCCTCTGCCTAACACCACAAAATATGACTGGCACACACTGTCTGTGAGCACCTACTTGTATGAAAAGGACTGGAGGGGTCTGAGTCGAACACGCTGCAGGCGTCTGTGGTGCTGGAAGTGGCAGAAGCAGGGGGTGGGGTGAGCGGGGTCCGGGGGGAGTTCGGGGCAGATGCTGTGGCTTCCGTCTCGCTCTCTGGGATGCGGCTGTAGCTGATTTTCCTTGGCTCCTGCTGCAGGGGTGTGGGATGTCTCATGGTACCTGGCCTTGGATTAGAGGGACGAACACCCGGGGACTTGAGAGGGTAGCTGTACTTCTTGGGCTGAAACGACAGAAAATATCAACCAAAATCAAAAGGCCATGGGATCCCTTAAATGTAGCTTTGTAGTTATGAAGTCAGAGATCTGAAATTACTTCCGCCATATATGAAAGACAAATGCAAGCGCTTTTTGAAAAATAAATACAAAAATCAAATACTAACAAATCTTGGAGGAGGCTTGACATTTCGTGGCTCTATCTCCAGTGACTTGTTGAACAGATAATCTGTGAATTCTGTCTCCACACTGTTTCCCATTGGATTCAGGTTTTCAAAAAATCTCTGCAATACAAGAAGGCAGACAACTTGTCAGCTAAGATGCTTCTTAACGTTGCTTGTTTCTAAAGCACAAAGGATTACAACTGTTCAAGAAAAGAGAGAAAATGCTGGAATCAGAGGTAAAGACAGACTTAAGCTATTAAATCTGTTTGTTGCCAGGGCTTTTCTGGACATTGCTACCGCTATGCTTGGCCTGAAAACCAGCTGTGCAAGTACCCTAAATGCTTTCTGCAGTGCAAAATTAGACCAGGTTTGCTCAAACACTTCCAGAAGAAGCTGCAAATAATCCATCTTTACACTGATGCAGGGAAGACTGCTCCCACAATGCATTCTGTCAAAGCCTGAGGAGAGCAAATTAAAAAAAAACTTGCCAAGTCTCTTAAGATAACCTGCCCTGTGACATTCTGAAAGTACATAGCTCAAAAGAAAAAAGAAAAAAGGAAAAGAAAAAAGGAATAAAGGAATAAAGGAAAGCAACCAGAGGACACTGCTTAGACAACATGAGACCAAGAGAAACAAGCACCAGGAGAAAGAAAGATGTGAGTATCATCAGCATCAACACACGATGTAAAACACAGAACAGAAAGGCAGTGTAACAGAGGAGGAAAAGACAACTGGTCTCACTGGACAAATAATTGCAACTGAGTGAAGGACAATGAGAATTTGCCAGTTTCAGTTCCTGTCTAACACTGATCACTAAGAAGATCTACCAATGTCCCGACAGCTAAGAAAATAATGAAATGAGCCCAAGAAACGGCAAGCATTGAGCTTTCTGCCCCTTCTTACAGTGAGAGCCAAGAGAGGTTTTATGACAGGTCTTCTACTCATCTCTGACTCAGTCAGAATCTATGTGAATGCAGTCTGTCCTTATGGTCTGTCAACTGACAGAATCACCACAGAAGGAAATCATGTCACTTACCCTGATGTCAAATTCCACTCTTAAACAATATGGCTGGTTCTGGTACTGCTGGATCTCCCCTGTTATCTCAGCTACCTTCCTTCTCTTGCTGAAGTTTATAAGGTCTTTCCCATGTCGTTTGAGAAATTCAGGGTTGCCTTCTTCTGTTTTCAAGATGTTGGTTAAGTAAATCCCTAAATGGCACACAGAAGATGTTTTCAACACAGAGTACAAAATAAGGAAGAAGTCACAACTGGAATGCAAGGAATTCTTAAAGAATTTGTGCACTGCAATTATTTAGAAAACTCCTCTGTTATGATCAATAAGAGAACTGCACCTCACCTTCCAATAGGGGCACCAATTTAAATATTTTAATATGCCTTTTCCAGAAAGCTGCCTTCTTCCATTGAAGTCCCACAGCCTGTGCATCTTTCTATGGTTTAGGAAGCTCACACACCTGAACACTAAAAGAGGACACTGAACAGGAGTGCTCTCTCATAACTCCTCTTTTCCATTAGACACCCCAGCTAAACTCCAAAAATTATTTTCATGTTTTAACCTTGGCTTCATTATTTCATCAAATCATTTGAAGATTAGGAAGCAAAAAGCACTCTCCACTCCACAGATCATGTCTGGAATTGTCATTATGACCTGATAAGCTATTCACATGTGATCCTGCTAAACTCTACTCATCTCTGAAACAGGACAGAAGGTTTCTTAGTTGATCTTATCTTTCTTTGCAGAGCTCTGGAGTATATCTTTCCCCAATCTGTAAAAGGCCAAACAAGCCATCAACACTATTTTCTTTCAGTTTTGGCCCGAAGCCTATGTTGGACAAGTGAACTGTCCAGACTTGGAACTGATCTGCAGCAAACATTTAAGTGGCTTGCTTAAGAACAGGAGTGACATGCACTTAACATCACAATTTGCTAAATGTCAGCAGTCTACTTCAAAGAAGATCTGTTAAATCTGATGATAAACAGGATGCTTGTTTTCCAAACTCTGTTTCTATAGAAATAAGAATTTTTAATAGAAATGAGACTCTAGCTGTATTTCTTGGAACACTTGATGAGGAAAAGGATCTTTCTTTGTCTCCCAGTCAATGGCAGTAATATTTCTAATATTTCTAATGTGACCACCTTCTATTGAGAGTATTTCTGGTTGCAACTGTTCAAACCACATTCAAAGTAAGAATCAGCAAATATGGAAACAGGATATTGCAGATATACTTGTTTTTACTGCAAGTAACATCTTCCATGAATAGTCACTTTAGGGGTTTTTTTCCACATATTTGTGTCAGGGCATCTGAAATTCCAATCCGCTAGTCAAAATTGACTTTTCTCTCTATTGTTCTTACTCTGTTTAGTACCTCAGCTCAGTATTTTCCAAATGTTAATGTGGGACATGGCTCATCCAAACCAAACATACTCACCAAAAAAAGGCACACAAGGAGGATTAATGGACCTGAGTTTTGCCAAGTATTTCTTATAATGGTCCTCACTCAGCTCATAAGCTTCTTCTAAGATCTTCTTCTGGCGACTTGGAATTTGCTTAAAAGAGAGATCAAACAGGTTGCTTGGAAAGAGAAGATAAAGGCATGGCCCAGCAACAACACTGAGAGTAATGGTCTCCCACTGGTACTTGAATCAGGGACCACGAGGACAGTGCCCCACCATCCTGAGATGCCTTTCTTAAGTGGGGATGGATTTCTTGCTTCTGGAACCAAGGAAAAAACCCTCTCTCTTACACCCTGATTAATTTCTTGGGGGATTTACTTTCCTTGCTCCTTGGAAGCACATTCTTACTGACAAGAAAGGCTTTCAGTGTAGCCAAGGTACCCTGCATGACACTGCCATAGCAAAAGTGGAAAACATTTCACTGTACCTCAAATGTGTGATCCAACCTATAAACTGCTGCGGAGTTCATAGCACTGACAATCTCAAGGACACCATTAAAGTTGTTTAGCTCTTGAAAAACTTGCAGGATCTCAATTATCCGGCTCACTACAATTACTCTTTCCTCTAGGTTTTCTGTTTCTACAATGCATCTAAATACACAAGAACATTGGTGTTTTTATTAAAGTGCTGATGAGGTTTCCAAAATCAAATATTAAGTTGTAACACAAACAAATATGATTTTATCAAATTACTTGAGGTAGTTCTGAAAATGTCTTAGAGATTTGAAAATATTCTAACAATAAAAAGCTTGAGACCATTATGTTAAAATTCTCACAGGGACCAGTTTTAGCATCTAAACACCAAAACAGGAATTCTCCCAGAACAGAATTTTTCACAGTATACTTGTGAATGGACTGTAAATGTCCAAATATGGAGTAGGTGCAGATTCAGGAAAGTCACTTACTTTTCAAACCACAGAGTTAGGTTAGTTGTATGCCTTATCATTTTCAGAAGGTTGGGAGAATTAATTTCTTTATCTTCCTTCGTCCACACACTTCCAACTAGTTCTGATGGCTGCACAGCTCTGGAAAAGTTGATGTTTTATAAAAGATATGTAACTAAAAGCAGGAAAGAAGGCATTTTTTCCCAAACCCTCTTGATTTTCACTGAATTTGGAATTAATATTTAGAAATAAATTCTTAAGATACCCCTTCTAGAATGTTAGGCTGCCCTCATGACTAAATGACTGATATTTCTACACTTCTTGTTTAGACTGCAGATGTTTCTTAATCTCTGTGACTCTTAGTCACCTCTGTTCATCTAAACGAAGAAAGAAATCTCCATCTCATTCACTGTAACAAAATGTGAGCTTCCAATGCCTGATTAATTTCTTACAGGCAGCTGATGAGATCTGACACGGTCCTTAATTTGCTACACAAACAGGATGTGAAGAAAACTGATTTAATAATTGTTCATGCGTCACAAAGGTTGATCTACTCAGAAAATATCAAGAGAAAGCTGGAGCACAAGACAATTAACAGTATGCAACAGTCACACATACTGCACATTAACTTGGGGAGGATAAAACAAATATTGTATTTAAGAGAGCTTCCTCTGCAAAAATGGAAATTAATACACACCACTGGTAAAGTCCCTTGATTTCTGTGGGGCTTCACATCAGAGGCCCCCAGAGACAATTTGAGGCATGGAGAATATTTTGATTTGTGCCATGTGTTTCTCGGTGGAGAAAAGTTACCTGTAAAAATCTGACTCCAGTAAAGTGAGCTGCCGAGCGATTTCTATGGGATGCAAAGTGAGCAAGTCAAAAGTCTCTGTGTGGCCTGGTTTGCTTATGTGCCACTCAATTGCTGGAGGGGGGCTCTCAAAAGTGATGTTGTGGCTCGGCCCAATGGCTTGTGCCTGCTTTTTCCTGTTGATTATCTTTGTGATGGATTCAACCCACTTCTTCATGGCTTTGCCTGGCACACAGAAAAAAATACTATTTAGGTAATACTGTTTTTCCTAAGACATCAATATAATTCAGAAATCTTTGGGTTTAACCCCAAAACATACTAAATTAAAGCAGTCATATATTCTTTAGGATTGGCATTCTCACTCAAGTGTAGAAGTATTCTACAAAGATAGGAAGAATTCCTCAACAGCCAATGCTGAGCACAACGTTGCCCAAGCACAAATTATAACACCCAAATCCAACTCCTGCTCTGATTTAGGTGCTTTTCTTTCTTTTCTGAGTTTACAGTGAGTTTTTGGGAACAGAAACAAAATGCAAGAACAAAATGCATTTCTGCAAACACCTTGAACTTTATAGTTTGGGAAAGAGCACATGATTACCTCAGATGACCTAGAAAGTCAAAATAATAAACAGGGAGAAGCCTTTTCCTGTACTACACTTACCATCAAAGCTGAGAATAAAATTGAAAGGCCAAATGCCTTTTTACCTCAGCACCATAAGAACTTCATGCACTAGTCCACTGAAAATTTACCAGTAACAGCCACTGAATTAGCTGCCTCATTCTCTCATGCCTCTTTTTAATGGCTAAATAACCACTAAGTACTTCTCTGACATAGACTTTTCCTACGAATTGCTCCTGTGTCTTAGTTTTATTTAAAAAGAAACAGGAAAAGTCTGCACAATCACAACGGCAAAGTGTCCTACAGTTCATATACACTGTGAAGTAGCTGGAAACTCTTGCTTCAAAGAAATAGTGTTTTCCACCATCCAACTTTCACAAAAATTACCCTTGTGTAAAGTCTAAAATATCAATCAAAGCAATTATTCTGTCCTGATCGCTACTTGGTTCTTATTATTTTTCATTAATTCAGTCCCTCTACAACAAAACTCATAATTTACATAAATAACAATCTTTGTTCTGAACAGGAGCCAGATTTTGAATAATAGGAATAGAAGTTTATTTCATGCTCTTTATGAAATATTTAATAAGCAGTCTGTCCTGTTTTTCCTGAAAGCAAAATTGATCACATTCATTCTTCACACATCACAGCATTGATCATGATTATCTTAGAAACGGGATGCTTCAGGATAAATAACAGCACTTAAGAAACTGTAAATACCTCTTACTGTTCCAATGAACTCCTCCAAACGTTTCAGAAGGTCAGCATCTCTTTCAAAGTCATAGAAATGGTGCTCTACCCAGTGTCGACACACATTTAATACTCTGCAGAAGCAAAGGATAAATGAACACTCCACAGCTCAGTCTATCTTCTCCATCAAAGCAGCTGCAAGAAAGGCCACGGGGCAGCACCAAGAGCCAGTGCAGCCAAAAGGAGCCACTCCAGGAGGAATTCAGGGGGGCTCAGAGGGATGCAGCACTCACCGTAGCTGCACAGGTTGAATGTATTCTTTCCTAAATCTCTTCAGCTCTGCACTAAGGGGTTGGTCTCCGTTCTCCATGGCAATACGGTCAGCTTCCGTTGGCTCAGGCTCTGGAATTTCAAATCTAGCACAGAAGATGGGTGTAAGCACTAGGCTTCTGTTACACCAGTCTTGGGTAAAGCTTCTGCACATAAACTTGTACATTTTACTGGCAATCCTTGAATTGGAAATCCTTTTTAAAAGGAGTTTGAAGTGACTCAAAACCAACTGGAAAGCCAGAATCTTACACACTCCAAGTAAAAAGAAGAAAAATACACTTCATAAGAACAGTATTTTTAACAGTGGCATACCTTTCTATTAGCAAACTCAGCAACTCTTGAGGTCTACAGAAGGATCTATATGTTGTGAGAAAAGTCCGAACAAAGTTGGGATCTAAGACAAAGAATAATTTTACACTTATGTCAGCAATTACCTGATTTTTTTTTCCCCTTTACAATAACTTCAATTATCCATTGAAATTAAGGATGTCACCCTATCAATTTACAGAGAAGATGACGTAAACCAAAATGGCTTTGGTAACAACTGGAAACCTCCTAAAAGAGCAATACAAAGCAGAACTTAAAAGCAATTTTCATTCTGTTAAAGGTTCACAACAATGACTTTTTTCCCCCCACCCTTCAGTTGTTAAAAAACAGGATTCTTTTCCAATGACTTTGAAATTCATGAATAGGTGATATTATTTATGAGTAAACAACCTTGTTTTTGACAGTAATCAGGACATGAGAACTCAAAAAACATATCAAGTAACTTTGCCTCTTCCTGGGGAGAATATTTCCCTTAAACTGGCACACTGATAACCAGTCATGGTTAAAGCAGCCTAGATACTTTTTCATCTGACAGCAGTGTTAGAGGTTATATTTATTTCACCTTAAGAAAATCGACTTATTTCATTTAAATTGACTAATGACATATCAATTAATTTAAAATAAGAAAATGTGTCTTAAAAACAATCACGTATTCAAAACAGAAAACCAAAGTGTCTCATAATTACAAAAGCAAACCCATTTGTTTTCAAATATGAGGAAATGCAGTGACAGCTCCCTGGCACTGCACAAAGCTGACCAGAAACAAGGTTAACACTGTTACCACTGAACAGAATTAATGAGCAGATTGTGACAGCTCTGCATATTAAATCCATATCCAGATTTGAAAACCAAACCCCAGTTGGTAACTGTCCTAACACAGAATGGCTGAAGAGGAGCTCACAGGACTTCAAGCAAGAATTCCTGTAGCTGTAACATGTAGGACAAAAAGCCTGCAGTATTTGACCTACTGCTCTATTGGATTTGTTTCCTGGAATATGGATTTTTAAGAGCTGCTTTAAAATCCTCCTTAACTTTTTACCAGCATCTTGTCCATTTGAATGAACATTCAACTTTTCTGAGATCGCACTGAGCTGTTCATTTGGGCAACAGTTTACTGTGATGTGCTGCACATCTTAACTGTGCCAGGTAACACAGCATTTCCTTGCAATTTTGTTGCATAATTCTAATTTCTTAAACAATTGGCTATTCTGCTTCACACATGTCCTTCATTACTCCATTTTTCTAATCATAATCCCTCTCCCACTAGTCCTTGAAACTGTACAGTACAAAATTATTTTCAAAGGCAGAACTCCAATACTTTTTGCACAAAGAAGGTCATCCCTGTTCCCATCATCTTCGTCATGAAAATACACAAATTCTGCTGTGCTAAAGAAGCACAGTAACTCACGTTTCACAGCTTGTAATCTGTACACAGCATCTACTCCAAATAAGAGATTTTGTCTACATGAAAAAAAATGGTTTCCATAGCAATTAACATTTTCAGATCACTGCAAGCTCTGAGTGGTAGCTATTGTTATTTACCAATTTGAAAGCTAAAAAAGAACAATAACTGTTCTACGAGGATTTATAAATAATCACCCTTGAATTCCTTAAGAAAGGAAACGGACACTATGATGACGCACAAGCACTCTTAACATATCAAAGCTTTAAAAATAGAAGAGTGCTGCCCTATAGATAAAAAAAAAAAGCATGACTTTAAAATGTTGGTACCACCTAGCTCAGCTGCTCTTAAACAAGAACTGGGCAATAGGAGATAATGAATACAAAAACACATTAAAACAAGGAAAACCCACCAGAGTATGCAAATAGGGTCAGAACCTGAACTTCTAATTGCAGGACAATTTCTCTCATGTAAAAATACATGGAAAGCTGCTTTTGCAGAGGAGATTTCTCCCTGTTTTGCTGCTCCAGCACAGGATAGTTTGGACAGTCTGCCACACCTCGTGGCCAGGTGGCCATCAGGGCTGTCTCCCTGCCTGAGCTGTTGCAGTGGCTGGATGCCTCCCACCCCTGGCAGAATTGTTTCCTTAGAGCTGTCCCTGTTTCACAACAAGGACGTTTTGTCTGATAAAATGGTCTGTCATTTGTCAAGGGGGTGAGGGATGACAAATAAAAGGTCCAACACTTGTATCTAAAAAAGAGGTGGACTGTGTGGATCTTCATATATGACAAAAAATTGAGACCTGATTTGACTACAATAACTAACTAAACTGCAACAAATTCTTATGACTTTTACAAGCGCATCTGTAATTATTTCTTACGCTACTCGACCTACAAAGATAAAAACCCAGAGAAAAGTCACAGCTATAGTAAATACTGTCTTTAGACTGTCACATCAAGGGCTGCCATAACCAGTCACACTGAATTTCAGAAAAATTGCCAAAGAAAGGTAAAAGCTTGCTGTTCTGGCACCTGAATATAAAGCCAATATGGACTTTTAAGTTTACCATCACACACACAATCCTGTGTGAGGAAAGAAAAGCATTTCTACAGTCTGTAGCTGTTTGGTTACATATCACCACAGCACTCATCTTCCCAGGTCACCAAGCAGAGAAGAAGCCTTGAACTCAGCTGACACATGTGTGAAAGAGCTAACCTGGTGCTCTGGAGAGTTGCTGCCCTACTCACTGCATCTCACAAGATGCAACCAAACCCTGAATGATTTACATCACAAAGGGACCATGCTTCCTGTAGAACAGAGGATTTTTGGTTGAGTCACTTTATCTCTTATTTCTTTGCTGCCCTGGAAAAGACTGCACAGAGTGGTGAGAACAATGATGTTTTTCCTTACAGATAACCAACTATAAAACAGAAGGTATAGAAGATAAGAGTGCTGAGAAATTATGCACAATGCAGCAATGCACCATCACTAAGATGTCCACTAAGATGTTTAAGGCTACAAAGACAGGCTAAATACATTATAAGACAATTATTCATATCCTTTTGGTCAAAGTCTTTCAGGCCATCTCTCCATAGCCATGTTCTGTTTTCTCATACAATAGTTTTTGCTAATTCTTTGCCAAAGACAATGCTAGATTTAAAAATAATAATAGAAAAGTATCTTCCTTTCTCTAAAGCTGAGTTGCTTGATTTTAACTTTCAAAACTATAAAATAATGTCATAAATCATGCCTATAACATTCAAAGCCAAGGGCTAGAATTTTATGAAGTTACAAGACAGGTACAAAACTGCTCAAATAAAAACTGCCAGCACAATATTGCATTTGGGTTTCTAGTAAATGTTAGGAAAATTCAAAGAAATTAAAAGAAGAGCAAAAACAGTAATGGAGCAAAGAGATATAAGTATTTAAAAAAGGAAACAGAGTACTAAACTACAGGAATTATATTCTGCTTACTCCTCACTTCTTTCAAGCAAACATTCCTGATCTATGCAGGATATCTAGGACTGAGCTGTAGAAGAATAATCTGCAACAATTAAGAGTGTAAAAAGGAAGAAAAAAAAAATACAAAAAGCACTAGCATGAAGTTTCAGAATAACTGACATGGAGACAGAATCAGAAAAAAAAAATCCAAACCTCAAACACAAGCCCATGCTTCGCAGCACTGCTTATGAAAATCCTGGGCTGCTATCAAGAACCCCACACACTGAGGTCAGCCTGGATAACCACATAAATGTCTTTAATGTCTTCAACACAAACAGAAACCCTAAGTCAAAAGTCTTTAAATCAAATCCTCACTAAGTTCTAATTAAAGCAAAGTTCTGAGGCCAAATTATGCAAGTGATTGCATCTATCAAGTTGATATTGGTGTTTCCATGACACGCCAGCACGGACACAGGTAAGAGCTGATAGAGTACAACCCTGAACTGAAAACACTGGGTCCATAATTCTCTCCCACAATGCTGGCCCTTCCTGTGTCACCCAGCTTTAGAAGTCTGGAGGGAAGGCAGTTCTTGTAGCTTGGGGCACAAAGGAAAAAGTATTGTCTAGAGCTCAATTGCTGCAGGCTCCCACCCCCATCCCTTGCATGAGAACAATCTTATCCACATGTAATATCCCATCTGAACTGCCAAGCACATTGACTTTTCACTCACTTTATGCATGTTGCTGCACACATATTTAACACAGGAAGAGAAGCATCAACGAGTTACTACCTTGAGTTTTGGCTGCACAAACCAAGTGCCTCACCTGCATACATGTGGTAAGTCAGCCTCTCGATGAGCTTCACAACAGTTCCTGCCTTGATGATGGGGATTCCAGATTTGGGCTGCATGTTTTCTTCAAACACAATATTCTCTTCAGAGTCGGGTTCTGCAAATCTGTAAAGCTCAGGATTTGGAAATCTCATCTGCTCCTCTTTTTCTTCCTGCAACATTGTTACATCCAACATCCTTTCCAGCGTGCTTCTATATTGCAAAGATATCAATGCTGCCATCCAGTTGTTTTTCTCTTCAGCTGATTTAGCAGCAAAAATAACACTGTTCTCATCTTTTAAGATGATTTCAAAAGCATGTCTATACTCATTAGTGTCATCTTTATCATTGATTTGTACCTTTCGCATGAAGAACTTCTCCTTGAGTCGATATTCTGCATTGCTAGCACCAGGAAGTCTTGGCTGGCCATGATTTGACTTACAGCAAATCATCAAGCCATCAAATAGGAATATGTGTCTCTCGTGCTTTGCTCCTACACGTGTGAGTGTTCCTTCCATGATGAACTCGTTACAGCACTGTCCAATGTCTTTACCCTCCCAACCATCAATGTTTTTCTGGATTTCATTCATTTTCTTAATTGCTAGCTGCTTCCCCTTCATCTGCTGAGTATAGAACCGGCATGCGGATTCACTTCAGTGGAGGATGGGAGAAAGGCAGCCTATTAGTACAGAGGCATTTAAAAAAACACAACCACCACCAACACAGAAACACCAGATTGTCCTTCTGAGAAGTGAGAAGGACTCCACACAGAATGCAATTCCACCATTTAATATCAGCACCATTGCAAAGGTTTGACTAAAGTATCTCATCTGATAAATTTTCTACTTATCTTCAGCAATAGATGTTTTACCTAAACACAAGCAACCAGAGGCAGGCAAACTGTGAGTGCTTCTTAGCCCAACAAGCCACTTCCATAATCAACAGAACAATTTTTGATGGTATTAATTTGAAACAAGTACATTCAGAAAAAAAGACAAGCTGTTAAATGCATTCATGTTCAAGCCTAAAGATCACCCCTGGCAGCACAAAACTTGTCTGGCAAAGAAAACATTGAAACAATTTTAAGACTAGTTTCAAATTCAAGAACATTCCCATCTAACCACACAGAGAGCTACTTTCAGAATATTTTTTGGTGGATATTTATTATCTGAGCACAATTAACCCAACAATGCTGTAACTTTCTACTTACCCGTGAATTCTCAGAATGTCTCAACTACCAGTTTGCAAGGACACATAGAAATTAGAACTGTTTTAAAACAATAACAAATTATCTTGGCTTTGATGTCACTTCCTCTGAAAAAGTAGGCTTGTCACAAACTATTTTGTTCATTGTTTACTAAAAGAGGAAACCGGGAGCCCTGGATTTATAGCAAAGCATTAAGAGCAGAGAGCAGAAAAACCGGAAACGTTTACCTAAGCCTTCGTTTTGCAAGGCTTTTGGAGCATATCCGTTCCATACTGCTTTGAAGATTTAGCAGGGCAGTTATTGCTTGCTTCAAGCACTCCTTATCCTCTTCATCCTCACTTTTTTCTTCCAATTGCTGTGAACATTGAAAGTCAAAGACAGGAAGTGTTACAAGCCTTTTGGTACATTCAAATCCAGTTTGACCCAGGAAGAAGAAATCTAACCATCTGCTGATTTTCCATGCTCCTGCTTTTTATAAAAGTTAATGGTGGTAACCAGGTGTGTTACTGACACAGGTGAGAGACAACTCTCTGCTAAGAGCTTAATCTCACTAAAATACAGCACAGTCACTAAGGCCCCCCCCAGATACAAATACACTCAGACACACAGTATTTATCTCAAACTGGTTTGATTTACCTTACAGCTCCTTAATGGAACCCATTTTAGGTGTTAAATCTAAACAAGAACAAGCAAGCAAGGAGATCCCCATGCACACCATACTATAGGACAAGATCAAATCAATCTGTAACACATATAAACATCCTGGAACAGGCAAGCTGCACCCAAAGCTAAGCAGAATTCCTTCATCACATTTAAAAACAGAAGATTACAAGGGTTCTCATCTCACAAATAACAGTCTAATTAATAAATCAGGTTGAAAGGGATCTTGGAGATTCTCTCAGACAATCTCCAGCACAACAGCAGAACCAACCCAGATCAAGTTGCCTAGAGCCACAATGAGTCTTGAATCTAAAAACTGAACTAACACTAATATTTTGTGTCTAATTACTGTTATGACAGGAAAATTTTTCAAACAAGATCTGCCATGTTTAAGATTGCTTAAACTGAAGATTTTCATCTCAATTCTTCCTTTAAGCATTTAAATGTTGCACATCAGTGAAAAACAGATGACTACAGCTGTGGCTTAGATGTCAAACTGAAACAATATATGCAGAATTATCAACAGATAAGCATTTAAGATTATCATACACCAAGAATTAGCTCCACACAACTGAAGAATTTGTTTTGGTAGTAGAAGTAGAACAGCATTATTTTTTTTCCCTAACTAGAGTTAATAATTCAGTGCAACAGCTGTCAATGCCAAAGACTATTTTATTTGTGTTTTCAGCCATAAGGATGACCACAAAGTTTATTCCAGGCAGGTTCATGTAATGCCATCCGTCGTACTCTCAACCTAAGCAGCATTAGGTGTGAGAGCCTACTTGTGTAACAACCACTGAAATAGGTCTGAGAACGCACCACAACAATCATTACTCCCCAAAACATCTTGGGGAGATGACATCATCCAAGAAGGAACAGACTCCCCACTTCATATTCCTCTGCTCTCCAGATTTAGTGGAGGTATCATCCCCCCTCTGCTTCAGTTTTGCAGATCTGGGTTCAGAGAGGATTTCAGACCAGTGAGGCAGGTACAGTACCAGTGGAAGAAGTCTTGAGAGAAAGCTTTGAAAAAGCTGTAACTACCTCTAAAATTTTGCATCTTTCCTGCACAAGCATTCAGAGAAGGCTTTTTGCCTTTGTGTTTTTAATTTTAAAAACTTCCATCAAAACAGTCTGTCTGGGTTTCCTACAGTTTCTGGGCTGTTACTCTTCAGCAGTGGAAGAGATTGTTTCAGCCTGGACTCCTTGAAAATAAGCCTTACTAGGTCCATCAATATTCTGTACATTCTCTTCAGAAACAAACTAGTAGAGATTAACATTCATTAATGCAAAGCATTCTGCTCTTATGTTGCTTTTTACAGCAACCTCTCTCCAGTTGCAAAAATCTTGGTATTCATCCATGTCCCAAAGCAAAATACATATCTGCATATAGAGAAAGCAGTTAATATTTTTCCAACAGGATCCATTGGGAGCAACCCTATTTCCAATGGTAAATAGAAACTAAATCAAAATCCAGTGAGTGTAATTATGCTCCAGGTTTAACATTTAGAAAGTGCTGTGCAGAAATGTGTCTTCTTCTGCATAACACAAACACAAATGGCAAATCAGGCAGTACTCTGAACTACTAAGACGACACTTCTCTGGACACAGGAATTTGGAATTATATTTATATTACAGCATGGTACTGTACAATTACCAAAACCAGACTTAGTCAGAACTCAGTGTAAATTACAGCAACAATTTAATCCTACGCTGCCCCTGGACAGTTTGGAAAAGGTGGAAAGTAAAATGGCATCAGTGGAAAGCACTCAGAATGTTTCTCTGCAAATCCCACTCATTCTTCTATAGCTGTGCAGTGCCCCCTAATGAACAAACCAGGGAGATGCTGAGTAAGTGGTGGTGGTTCTTTGTTTTGGGGTTGTTTCTTTGCTTTTGGGCTTTTACACACAATACAAAAAATACAATTTTATGTGAAGGAAGTGCAGAATTCTGATTATCGGTAGTATTATAGAGATTGTGGGTTTTAACCATCTTAGGAAAAAATATTGGCTTACCATTCATGTGATTTACAATGCACAAGACCCTGTTAATTCAAGGAAAACAAACTTGGAAAATAGACTGCTAGAAAAGTCTCTAATAAAAAGAAAGTACTCTACATTCTAGGCCATAAGTTCTGAAGAGACACCAAGAAGTGGAAGACCATGTATTTTTCTCTACCTGTTGCATACCACAAGGATTACACGTTTATATAAATTCCAAAGAGATAGAAAAGAAATCCTCCTCATGCAGTGCACAATTAGACTGCAGTAGCTGACCTCTTAAGACTGTCAGAGAAGCATCTCTGGAAATACAATGATAGGAAATACATATGAGAACATGCAGAAACAACCACAACAGCAGGTGTCACAAGAGCTGGTAGTCTCGTACTTTAGGGTTTGCACCACAACCTCGACTTCTGTCTTCCCAGAAGATTAAGTCTAACCACTGGAATTTGTGAACTGCAAGTTCCCCAGTGTCTCTGGGAAACAAGACCACATCTTCAATACATAGAAGACAGAACTATTTTGTAATCAAGAATAAAAACCGACAGGGTTTCTTCCCTGACCAAGGCAGGCAGGTTTGCTGGCACTTTGCCACAAACCAGTCCTGGAACATGGCTCGATTGCATAGGATACCTGAGGGCACTCTCTGACTTTTTGGAATTCCTACAAAAACCAAAAAACTCAGCCCAAAGCAGCAGTGTACTGGGGGCAAAAGAAAGTGTTCTCATATCTAGAAACTTTAATTTTTATAAAGCATCAGGAAATCATCTGGGACAGTAAATGGGGACAACTTCAAGGAACATCTATGCACTTCTGGAAAATTCTAGCAGACTAAAAAGCACCTCACACTTGAACCTTGAAGGAAACGCCACATGCCATATTCCTGAGCATACATACACAGTTTCAATGCACTGAAATTTAAAAAGTCATTTTGTTTTCATATAAACTCAGACTATCTTGAGCACAGTGCAGTAAAAATATTCATACAATTATCTGTTTATTTAGATCTACATTACCAGCAGGAGTGTTAGTTGCATTGACAGCGGAACAGAACTTATCTTACTAATGCAATGATAAAAACCTTTTCTCCACTCAAAAGTTTAATTATGGCTTCTCAGTTTAATTTTAAATAGTTACATAAAATAGCACATGTCAAATATCAAACCCCAGATATGAGATAATTTGTTACAAAAAGCCTTCAGCATTCTCTTGGAAGTACATTTTAAAAGACACAGAAGCTAAAAGGCCCTCATCTTTTATTTCATGTTAAGTTTAACTCACAAGTTAAGATATGACCAACCCATCAGGAAGCATACTGGGCAAGTAAAGCATCAAAATAGAGGAAAACAAAAAGCATTTCAACTTTTAGTACAAGATTCCTTGTTCCTTCACGTCTTTACCATGTGACTTAAAACAGATCCTAAATATATGTTGAAAATTCAACTACATCAAATGTTATTCGAGCCCAAAAATGTAAAAACATTTGGGCTAAAGAAACCTGTGATTTTAAGGAATTGCTACTTTGATTACTCAATGTGAATGTTCTTATTTGGGAAGGTGTGGGTGGGTGTGTATGTGTGAAATTAAAATAATTATGTTTCAGAATTCATTAACGCTACTCAGAAGTGCCATGTTGAAAATCAGGATGGACACTGAGGAAAAGTCAGGAAGACCCACTCAGAAACATGAACTGTACAAATCTGTCAGCTGATGTTTCACCAATTCAACAAAGTTTTCTACAACAGGTTTCTTATATGGCCAATTTGCCATTAGCATCCATTCAGCCTGTCAGAGACCACATTCCAGATTAGCTCCAGAGCTATGGCACCCTGGGAAGTGTTTCACCTGCTGTCTGCTCAGCAGGAGGAGGTGCAATTTTGCTTTCAGTTTTTGCAGCTGGGAAGGGATTCATGTATGCAATCGATGTTAGGTTACACACTCAGCATCTCCTTCATGAAGGAAGGGATGTAAAAGCAAAGCCTTTTTTCCAAATGCCTCCTCTAAGGTTCTCACAAAAGTATTTCCTAAACATTCAGACTTTTTGTAGGCAACTAGCAGCCATTTATGCATTTTATATTTCATTACTGGGAATGGCTAGTTTGCTTATAGGAAGCCTTGACTTCTCCAAGTACAGAAAATTCATTTGCTCTGCATTTTTCAGAAATATGGGATTTGGTTTTTTTGCATACGCTGATGTCTCCTCCACAGCAGCATCATTACCTTTCTGCAACAAATGTACAAGTTCACACAGATTCTTCCAGAGCCTTCATGCTCTGAAACTCTCTTCTTTCTTACTGTCACTTTGGTTTGTCTCATCACTATTAGCAGACCTGCAGAATACATTAGAAATTTAAAACTCATAATTTAGTTCATAACGTTTAGTTAGATCAGTATTTGAAATATCACAGATTATTTACCTATGTGCTTCCACACTTGTAATTGAGGTCTTCCATTTTCTTCCCCCAAATTTTCCATCAAAGTAAAGACAATGCAATTTGAAAACATCTTCCCCTTCTCTTTTGTAATTCCAAAGTGGATTAAAATCCACTTTTTCTGCTTCGACACAATTCAAGTCTGATCTTTGCCACAAAATTTTGTAAGGCTGTAAGCAAAACTGGATGACACCTCTATGTTTGGGCAGAAATGTATGAATGTTTGAACACTACATAAGGTGAATTCACAACTTCAGAGA